ACACGACCCTGGAGCCAGCCACGAGACTGGGAGACACAACGAGACAAGCGGGAGACAAGCCCGGAGCCGGCGTCACAGCATCTAGCATCTGACCGGGGAGACAAGCGGGAGACACGACCCGGAGCCGGGAGACAGGAAGACAAGCGGAAAACAGGACCCCGCACCGGCGTCGGAAACACAGGGAGACAAGCGGGATACAGGACCCTGGGGCCAGCATCTAGCATCTGACCGCAGAGACTGGAAGACACAAGGAGACAAGCGGGAGACAAGCCCGGAGCCGGCGTCACAGCATCTGGCATCTGACCGCGGAGGCTGGGAGGGAGACACAGAAAGACAAGCGGGAGACAAGCCCGGAGCCGGCGTCACAGCATCTGGCATCTGACTGCGGACACTGGGAGACACATAGAGAGACAAGCGGGAGACACGATCCTGGAGCCAGCGTCACAGCATCTAGCATCTGACCGCAGAGACTGGGAGACACAGGGAGACAAGCGGAGACAAGCCCGGAGCCGGCGTCACAGCGACTGGGAGACACAGGGAGACAAGCCGGAGACACGACCCCGGAGCCGGCGTCACAGCATCTAGTATCTGACTGCAAAGACTGGGAGAAACAGAAGACAAGCGGGAGACGCGACACACAGGGAGACAAGCGGGAGACACGACCCCCGAGCGGCGTCACAGCATCTGGGAAACACAGGGAGACAAGCGGGAGACGTCACAGCAAGCGGCGGAGCCGGCGTCACAGCATCTGGCATCTGACCACGGAGACTGGGAGACACAGCAAGACAAGCAGAAGACACGACCCTCTAGCCAGCGTCACAGCATCTAGCATCTGACTTGGAGACACAGCATCTAGCATCTGACCCCAGAGACTGGGAGACAAGCGGGAGACACGACACACAGGGAGACAAGTGGCAGACACGACCGCCGAGCGGCGTCACAGCATCTGGGAGACACAGGGAGACAAGCGGGAGACACGACCCTGGAGCCAGCGTCTGACACAGGGAGACAAGCGGGAGACAAGCCCGGAGCCGGCGTCACACCATCTGGCATCTGATCGCGGAGACTGGGAGACACAGAAAGACAAGCGGGAGACACGACCCTGGAGCCAGCGTCACAGCATCTAGCATCTGACCGCAGAGACTGGGAGACACAGGGAGACAAGCGGGCGACACGACCCCGGAGCGGCGTCACAGCATCTGGCATCTGACCGGGGAGACAAGCGGGAGAATCTGGCATCTGACCGGAGAGACGAGACTGGGAGACAGGAAGACAAGCGGAAAACAGGACCGGAACCGGCGTCACACTTTCCCATTCTATACCTCAAGTTAGAACCCCAATGCTTCGCCGCTTGGGGAATGAAGGGAAGTGCAAGGTGCAAGGAAATGAAAAAATCAAGAGAAATGAAAGGAAGTCACGGGAACTAACGAGAAGCAAGACGAACGGGCATGCAGGGAAATGGGTGCAGGGAAGAGCAGGAAACTGGCGTTGAAATCACACGGGAACTAAAGGGAATTAGGAAATGAAGCGGCACCCGGCGGCTGGCTGTGTCGCGTCAGCGTGTAAATCCGGCCACCGGTCGTGACCGGGCCAAAGACCTGACCCGGACGGCTACCTTCAGGTATAAGGCTGTCCGCCCCACACCGCCGACCATGCGCCGACCATGTGTTTTCTGATATTTGTTGCGGCATCTCCCGCGGAGTTGAAAAATAAAACGAGTGGCTTTGGGGGGGGTGCCTATTACTGGACAACTGCGAAATATCGAGGCTGGAACAAAATCATTGAAAATTGCCGAAACTGTTGGGGACGTGAAGGGAATATGAGTGAATGGGGGCGAACTTGATGGAAATCAAGCGGGCGCTGGAGGGAAACTAAAATGAAGGGCAATGCAGGGACATGGCAAGGGAACTGGAGGGAAATGAAGGGAAACTGACTGGAAACCAAGAGAACAAAGAGAAATCAAAAAAAAGTCGCGGAAACTCAAGAGTCAAGGGCCACGAAATGAGTGCAAGGACGAACAGGAAACTGACGTGAAAAGGAAGTGAGGTTGAAATCATGGGAACTAAAGAGAGTTAAGGGAAAACTGCAAATGAAGGGAAAGCAAGTGAAGGGGTGTCTGGTGGCCGGCTTTGTCGCGTCAGCGTGTAAATCCGGCCACCGGGGTCCCTGGGCCTGGCGCCCCCTGCCGCCGACCTAGCGCCAAACGCACCGAACTTTTGCGGGGACATTGATGAAAAAAATTGGAAAATGGAGGGAAAAGGGATGGATGGACAATTGATGGAAAGTTCCTGGCAGGATGGCATAAGGATGGCAAAAGCATGCAAAAAATGATGCAAATGCCACACTGTCATGCAGTTTTTTTGGAAGGATGGAATCCGGATGGAACATGCATGAACATTTGCTGTAACACAAGTGGAAAATAGCTGGAACATGAATCTGACTATCTTAAAACTCTTGAATTCTTCGAATATTGGAATATTGAACTCTTGCGTGTTAAAATCCTAAATTCCGAAAAAATTCTCAAAACTAAAATTTTAAAATCTTAAACTGGATGGAAAATGGATTGAACATGGCCTGGCTTGAAGTCTTTAAACCCTTCAAATCTTAAAACCTCAGTATCGCAACATCTTAACATCTCGAAACCTTAAAATCATAAAGTCTTAAAATCATGGACTGGCACGGGCCTGACGGGCTGGGTTCTTGGTGGCCGGCTGTGTCGCGTAGCGTGTACATCCGGCTACGCCTCCTAGGGTAGCATGTCGCCGCTAGGCAATTTGCCTGCTAGCTTCAGCTCTAGGGGCTGCACCCGTGTGCCGCCGACCCTCGTGATGCGTTGCCTATGTCTGGCACCTCTGCATCACCAGCCCGGGCTTGCGGTTTTGCTTGCCTTGCAAAACATCGCGTATAATGCAGGTTTAGGCCGTGTGGCTGACATCATCAGGGTCTGGGATGCTTCAGCGGGGCTTGGTCTGCATCATCGAGACTTCCTTCCAAAAAGCCTCGCAACCCATGTCGCACTGTTTTTGAGAAGGTGCCAAAGGGATATAAGCAAGGCTCATTTTCACGTGTTTTGGTGCCAAGCGCTGCTGGGCATGCCGGCAACGCTGGGTCCTCGCTCTACAAAACGCCGCAAATATCGTCAAAACTGCTATGCTGAGCGTTGGGCTGTTGTTCTGTCCGTGTTGCTTTTGCTGTGGCTGGCTCGTGCGCTGCTCGGTCCTTGCTTTGTCCCCGTTGGTTTTCGGGCCTTCTGGCGCGCGCGCGCACCCCAGCCACAAATCGCCGCTATTTGCGGTGTTTTGTTGCGTTTGCGTTTCCGGGCTGGCTTGCGGGTTTTTCTTTTCGGGCTGCTCGTTCTGGGGCCTCTGGCGCGCGCGCGTGCGACCCCATGTCAACCTTCTGGGTTGGGGCCGGCTGGGGCCCCGAAAGCTGGCATCCCTGGCACGATTTGGGGTTGGGGACATGCGTAGCCTAACCAGCCACACCACAGCACAGGATGCTCTTCTCTCATACACTTCAAAGAGGCGTAGCCGGCTAGAGGCCGCAGGCCCAAAAGATATGTATATTTTATATATATATATATATATATATATGAGTTGCTGTTTTGGGGGGCTTTGTGATTCACGATGATGCTGGTAAATCCTTACAAGCTACAAAATACATACAATGTTACAAATAGAGGCCTATGTTATATAAGAATGATTCGCACACATCTTTTCTCAAAGATAAGTCGAAGAAGGCGCTAAGAATCTACGAACAGTGTACGCTTCTTTAACAGCCAAACAAGCCTTGAAGGAGGTAGGCATGGAGGTGTCGATATGGCCGCAGAGCCCGGAATAAGATGCCATCTGACAAATATGACACTGGAAGAAAAACGTAGGACAACTGCCGAGTTGGGATGCTCCGTTGGGTTGTCGTGTCTTCAAACAAGAAGTCCTCATCACCCCAACGGCCCACAGCGTCACTTGAAAGGTTTGGCCAATGCAAAAGTCAGTGAACTCAAAGCAAGTCCTGCTTCACAGATTAGGTAAGCTAGAACTAAAGGCTGCATGTTCAATGGGGAGGCGGCATGTTATCCATTCAGCCATTCGTCTAAAATGAGTGCCCCTCTCCTCATCATGTGGCACAGGCACCTGCAACGCGCAGGTGAACATTCATCAGACTGTTTGCAAAGCGGAGCTAAAGTCCAAAGCCCTCCCTCTATGATTTTTGTCGAGATGAACGCCTGCTGCGCTCGGTCCAGCTCGGACTTGGCGCGCTTTGCCTCCACGGGTGAATGTGGATGCCCGCATGCCCACACGCCCTCCCGCATGTCCACCAGTTGCCTCACGCTGCAACTCCTCTACCCTGGGCTCTTTCGGTCTTCGGTCCTCAGGACTTGCCGCGACCCAACACCGCCAAACCGCGGCCCTGCCTTGAAAGGCTCAATGACCTAGGCAATGGCCAAGTCCAACTTGAAGACTTAAGCAGCTTAAGCATGTTCCGGCAGAGTTTCCAGTTGCTATTCTCGGGCCGCCGGCCATGAGAATGCGCAGCTTGTGCCGCGGGCACTCGCACAAACGGGCAGCTGGCAGCTGGAAAAAGGCCGAATGAAAAATTCAAAAACACGTCGAAATGCCGGAGACCTGTCACCACCACCGACAAAGTCAAAAGTGTCCTTTGTGGGGATGGTGAAAAATGCGTCGTTGCTGCTCCTTTGAATGGCCCTAACCTCTGTGAGTGCTGTGTGCTGAGTGCGTCTGCCAACAGAGTTTGCTTTGAGTTGATCAAATGTTGGCACATCCGGGAGCTCTGAAACAGTCTGATGCATGCAATGCTAAGTTCTGAGATTGCGTGCCAGAAAAGATCCCCTGATACATGGCTAAAGGAGTTGCTAAATGCGCTCGAGCCAAGGCGCGCGTGACGATCTGCGCAGTGATTGACTCCAAGACAGAAGGCTGCATTCTCATAGAAATCCTCCTTCCGTGGTTAACCTGCATCAGCTCACCAGCTGAAGCGTCCTCGTAGAGCGCCTGTCTTTCCTCCTGCAACGGCGACGCTTGCTTCCGGAAGCATAGCCGGTTTTTGCCTGTTGGCTGCTTGAGTACAAAGCAATTGTCAGCTCCCAAAAGAGAAATAATAGCTGCGCCTCAGATGCGGCAGGCAAATGAAGCCATGCATCCTCCATGCGCCTCGGTTTCCCCAATGCAGCTCTAGCAGTTGCTGTTCCTTCATTCTTGAAAAACAGAGCGTCCAAGTCCAGAACTTTTGCGGCGATGTGAGAAAGGACCTTGAGAGAATGACTGGCTGGGCTAAACTCAACTAAATGTATTGCTTGCACTTCGAGCTTGTGCACACCAATGCCAAACTTGAAGCTTGACGTGTTTGAGTGGGTACAGTGTTCAGTAAGATGCCAGCACAGGCACTTGTTGTTCTTGACGCACAGTACCTTGTGCAAATGCAAAAGGTAAATGTGTTCCAACAGCATCCACCAAAACCAGCTCGCACCCTTCGCGGCTGCCGCAGCATAGGCTGCAGCTGCCTGGAGAAGTTTGCAGGCCACCGAGACGGCGCGAAAACGGGTCACGGCACGGCCGCAACTGCGCCTGGTACGGCCCCAGCTTCTGCCGGATGAGCTGCTGCTGGATCTCGTCTGGGGAGAGCCTCAAAGCTTTGAAGCCCCAGTCGGAATAGAGTTGAAACCAGAGAGATATGCAGAGACCGCAAGCTGCGAGATCCCGCATTTCCGCAACAACTGGGCTGTCAGCTTTGGCCGTGACGGGGCGGCTGGAGACACCTGTGGCATGTCAAAGGCACGCGAAAGGACAAAATCGTAGGGTGAGCAACCACAAATCATATTCTTGCATAGTCAATCACCAAATGTGTGTGTTTCTTGAGGATAATCTTAAGTTCACCACCCATTTTATTTTGACACCGACCAGCGCCTCAGCCTCCTCAAACACCTCCAGAACGCATTGAGAGATCCCCGCCCCGCACCCCGCTCGCTGTGAATTGGGGGGGGGAAGGGCCAGCCTGGCGCGCAGAGCTAGGCCTCGCAGCCGAGGTGGGCCGTGACCTTGAACGGAAGGAAAAAGAAGACAACCCAGCCAAAAGTGAGTCGCCTCATTTTCGTCCCACAAAAAGCTGATGGGCATAAGCTGCCAGCCGCAGCAAGCTCTCTTTTGCTCTGGACAGGATTTAAAACTTTGATGACAAGCAAACTGCCTTGGGCAGTTCAGATCTGCATCACACTATGTGCCCAGTCTGGTGAAACTCTATGCAATATTATTCATTGCAACGCCGAATATGTAGTGTTGTGTGTGTGTGTGTTTCCTTGTCCTTTCCGTCTCGCACCACATATTGCTCGATGAATACCATAAGAATTCACTTTCTCACACATTCTCCCGCAACGTGCACAGCGCTGATGCGCTCAGAGCTGAGCTAAGCCTTGCACAAACTCGTGAGAAAGACCGGATCTTGATCCATTTACAATTCATTTGCTTCACCCCACTTTAAGAATCATTCGCATAGCTGACCTTGCGAATTCACAATCTGGCCTGGATCGGCTGGATCGGCTGCAAGTGGAAGCTGTCGCCGCAGAGGAAGCACGGCCCTGGCATCGAACAAAGAATGCAACTGCCACATCCGGATATTCACCACTGCCTGGGCCATGACAGCGGTTCAACCATGCAGGGTTTGCTAGCTGCTCTGAGCCTCGGCCAAGGAACTGCAAAGGCAGGCCCTGATCTCACTCTCAGTGCAACGCGTGGATCAAGCGGCCGCAAATGGTCCAGGTGGACCTACTGACAGGCATAGCCACCCAACCAATTTCCCGGCGACCTATGGATCCCAGGCCCGTCTTGATGCACCATACATATTGGCGCATACTGATCCCGGGCACCTTCAGGCTTCCAGCCTCGCCTCAGCAGATCCATTGCTCTGCAAAGCTCTTGCGCTAGTCAGTTCATGTCATCTTGTGCGTTCATACATGTGTTCCCGGTTTACAGCATGTTCTTCTTCTCAGCAGTTTTCAGGGCCTCTTACGGGAGCAAGTGAGCCATTATTTTTGTACCGTCTTGTTGTCTAGCATGTTGCTTGTTGCCGTGAACGGGTTTCCTTTGAATCTTGGCAATCCCCTAACAGAGACCCCCCCCCGGCCGACGTCTGATACGTAGGGCGCAGGGAGACGTACCGCGCGGTAATTTGATGACGTTCCACTAAACGTAGTCTTCGAGCCGGTGTCGCAAAACAGGGGTCCCAGCTCTTTGCTGGTTTGGGTTTCCTGCCTCCTTTTGCCGAAAATCTGGAAAACTCCGTGTTTTTGGACGTCCTCTTTGCGAAAACGCTGGAAAAACCGTGTCTTTGGCGGGAAATACCTGGAGAGCAAACAGGAAATGCAAGGAAGTGCAAGGAAATGAGGGGAGGAAATAGGAAGTCGACATGACAGGAAAGCAACGGGAGATGAAAGGGAAACAAAGGGGAACTGAAAGGGATATGAAAGGGACAGAAATGAAAACAAGGGGAATGCAAGGGGAGTGAAAGGGAAACAAAGCACAAGGAAACCAATCGGCACGACGGGAGATGTAGGGAAATGACTCGCAACGAAAGAACGGGACATACATGGAAAATGAAGCGGACATACCGAGAAAATGACAGGGACATGAAGGGGGAGTTGAGAGGAATGGAAGGGACATGACCAGGACATCATGGGAAACGTTAAAAGGACATGAAGGGGAAATCAAGAAGAAAGCCAGTAGTGAGATGACAGTTCAGGGTCATGAAGGAGCACTGCCCGGACATCGAGGCAACTCAGGGGGGACGTGACGCTGCAATGCAGAGAGAGAGAGAGAGAAAGAGAGAGAGAGAGAGAGAGAGAGAGAGAGAGAGAGAGAGAGAGAGCGAGACAGGGAGAGAGCGCGAGAGAGAGAGAGAGAGGGAGAGAGAGAGAGAGAGAGATAGAGAGAGAGACAGAGAGCGAGAAAAAGAGAGGGAGAGAGAGACAGAGTCAGAGAAAGAGACAGAGAAAGAGACAGACAGAGAAAGAGACAGACAGAGAGAGAGAGAGAGAGCAAGAGAGAGACGGAGAAAGAGAGACACAGAAAGACAGAGAGAGGGAGAGAGAGACAGAGAGAAAGAGACAGAGACAGAGAGAGAGAGAGAGAGAGAGATAGAGAGATAGAGAGAGACAGAGAGAGGGCGATTGAGGAGAGAGAGGCTTGGGGGAGCAAAGAGAGGAAGAGAGGACGACAGAACACACGGGGGAGGAGACAAGGGAGAGAGGAAGAAGGAGAAAAGGGAGAGGACAATGTCGGCGGACTGAGCCAGAGGCTCTAAAGTATGAAAACGCCCAACAGGTCCACTTCCACAGAGGGTGCCGAAAAATAAAACGGACTCAAACCCAATAGGTAACTTGCTTTGTCACACATCACCAGGTCCAGACCTATGTGTAGCTTTAGCCATGGAACCAGCACTGGTGAAAACCCGCACTGCGACGAAGCCCTCAGCATCAGCTCCTGCTCAGATCCACCCACTGCTCAGATCCCCACTGCTACTGCAAAGGTCAAAAGGATCTCATGAGGCCGGTCCTGAAAGAACCTGCGCTGGAGACCCGTCCAGCTCTGGCCGCCTGACACTGCCACAAATGCGATATGCGCCCTTTTCAGTTGAAGGGCTCCTTCTGTCTTTCAGGACTTTGCGAGTCAGTGCAACAGAGCGTCGAATGACTTGGCGCTAGCGCGGCTCAACCTTCCAGTCTCTCGTGCAATCTGCCGCGAATCAGCCTTCTCATGGCCCTCAGCACCACGCGGTCACCAGAAACTGGAAGGCGATATGGATCGATGTCCTGCCGAGATCTTGAAATCTTGGCACTAAAAAGAGACGTCCTCCCTACTCAAGTTACGCAAGCGTATACTTTTCTTCTAAAAAAAGCGTCCCATCGCTCCGGAACTGGTGGCCAGGCTGGCGGTCGCCGCATGCGGCCTGAGCTCCGACGTTACTGTCCGTTCTGGATTTTTCGGTTCCAGCTTCTATTTAGATTAAGCTTCCCAGCTGGCAAGGTAATCAACCTCCTTGACCACGCTGTCCCGGAGCATCATCATGTCCTAAACCCACAGCACAAACAGTGGCATTCCTGAGCCTTCGGCTGAGCGCAGTACTGTCATGGGATTTCTGCCCCGTGGCTGCATGGCTCCAAAACACTTGGTCGGAAAACACCGCGCTCAAAAGATGAACCATGTCATGGCCAACAGCTGCGTTGTAGGAGCAACGATTGCAGGCATTCCATGAAGCTACTCGTATCGCTTGGAGCAACAAATCACAGCGCACGTGCAAAATCCAGTGTGGTGAGCTGCAGCTGCGCTCTGGGCTTCAGCACCGGCTCTCTCTCACCCGCGGGGCAGAGCCTTGGCCAAGTGAACGGAGATTTGGACCCTGGAACTTGCGGAGGCCGAAGCAAGCACGGCGCGTCACACTCGCAGTGGAGCTCGATACCTTCACCTCCCCGTGTGAGCTGTGAATCACACGAAAGTGGGAGCCAAGCTCAATATCCAGCCTCTGAAAGGCGCTGCAAACGTCTCTGCTCCTGACCAAACAAGACTTTGGAAGTCCAAGCCGCAACCCGGATTGAAGTCCAAAGGTGACACATGGATAAGCAATTCACAGGCAGCCCAACTCTTCTTTTGCGCCGTTTGGAGCCAGTGGCAAACAGGTTTGTCTACGACAAACCTGTTGCTCAGCCAGCGCAAGCGTCGCGGTCCTCGTCTGCATTGTGCACGATGCAAGTGGCAAATGCGAGTCATTCAAGCCATGAATTTGAAACATGTGCTTCATATGATTGCAAACAGAGCATCACTGAATAGCCGTCGAGCTGATCGGAACACATGAGCAGCACACAACAAACCTACCTGACATTTCAGATAACAGAATGATAATAGTAGGTGGCTAAAGCAGCCTGCTCTTTTGATTAGGTTGGCGGATCCAAACGTGGCTTGCCTTCGAGCACTGCTCACACAAACATGATTCTTGTCGTGTGTCCCACGGTAGCTCCAGCATTTGCAAGGCCTTTTGCACATCCTCCCCGGTCAGGCCCACGTCGCTCCTTCGCCAGAGACTATGTACAAGATTCTCGCACGAAGCAGGTTCATGCCCAAGCATTCAAGCCCGGCCTGCAATGGACAAAATGCGGCGCGAGGATGCCCCGCCCTGTCCCACACGAGGCAAGTTTCCTCCCAATGCGTGTGAGCCTCGAGCACTGCACAGTGCGCCTGCCGTGGCCCGGTCATCCAGCACAACAAGGCCGCTCACAGCGTGGACCTGTGCATGCAACAACCGCACCGCAAAGCTTGCAGCTCTGTACGGCTCAAAGTGATTCAAATCAGCTCCATCCCTTCGAACATCTGACAATACATGATCCAAGCCTTCAGCCAAGCTAGAATTTCATCCGTGCGATGAGCATAGACCTGATCAATCACGTTCTATGCAGGTATGCGGGTATGCGGGTATGCGGGTATGCGGGTATGCGAGTATGCGGGTATGCGGGTATGCGGGTATGCGGGTATGCGGGTATGCGGGTATGCGGGTATGCGGGTATGCGGGTATGCGGGTATGCGGGTATGCGGGTATGTGTAGTATTGCCTGATCATCAAAGCAGCTGCCCTCGATGTGGCCCAGCCCTGGGGTGCTGTCCCAAACCCGCCAAGCTGGTATGCCAAACCTCAGTAGGCAACAGATCCACATGGAGGCTCTGGCGTTACGAAGCCAGCTCTCACAAAGAGTAAGCTGGACACCGTGTGAGAACATATGTGATGTACTCTCTGAAGTGACGCCTGAGCCAATGCTCGGCAAGCTGCTCAGCGTGCCCGTGCTTTTTTTGCGCCACAACAGTACTGAGTGGGGGGCGGAACCTGCCTGAAACATTGCCAAGTGACCAATAGGTGGACAGAACGATGTAGGCGTCCCCTCTCTCTACCAACTCCTTACGCATGCATATGCCTGAAGCTGCACAAACAAACTGCCTGGTATCTAGCCAGAACGCAACTACACACTTCCATCGCTGGAAACAAAGACTCCTTGCCAGTTGTGCCTTCCTCAAGGCCTCACTGAGTCTCGACTCCAGCCGACCGTTTTTCACGTACTCCTTCAGTCTGGCCATCAAGTCCTCGTCCAGTCGTACATGTGTGGCTGCGCGGGTTCGATTCAGCACCCCATCGATGTCAAGAAAGATAACCTCAATGCAAGCCAGTCGCTTTCGTCGGTAGGTTTGTTCTGGACACGATGAACAGTCACAAGTCACGCATGCCATGTGCAAAACACAACAGCTGTTGCTTTCTAGTGGCAGCTTTGGGATGAACTACAAAATCAGCTGCACAATGCAAAGAAAGGAACGCGTCTTTCTTGATCGGCACTCATTGCCTCTCTGATTGATGGCATGGCTAGGTAAGCAGCTTGGCCGATTGCTTGCTGGGTGGTTGTGCGCCAAGCTGGATTGCTTTGGCCTTGTATAAGCATCGTGCATATGTTTGGAGCGCCACAGAGCTGAGCCGTTCACAATGCTCGTTTCACATGTTCCCATCAGCTATGCTTTCCTCGCGACTTCTCGTGCGTCGTCCATCTGGTTCATGCATCTTACACTACACAGCTGTGTATCACTTTATTGCAAATGTATAGAGTCGCCACAGTTCATGAGCTCTCAATTGAACCACATGGCCAACTTCATAGCAGCTGATCAAGACTATGCTCAGCTTACTGCGCAACGCAAATGCATCGTGCCTGCCGCTCAAGCTCCTGCAACCAAACGACTCCATTACGACAATCATGTGCTGGCCCATCGCACGACAAGTCGTCTCCCGACGAGCGACCACGGCATTGGGATGAACCATGCTGGTGAAGTTCCGCCTGGTTGGCCCATCTTGTGCAAGCGCATTGCCAGCACAATGAGACAGTTGCCGTTGTGACGCGACTGCAACACATGTACCACAGCCCCTAGATTTGACTCTGCAGTCAGCTCTTTGTAAACATGCCAGGGCGCGACCCGGCCATGGCTATGGCATCGCAAATACCCTGCGTAGTGAAAAGTAAAGAATCTAATCTGCTGAATCTGCAATTTCCGCGCTCTCCGATTGCAGCTTGACAATGAAACGTGGGGACAAGGTTGGCATCAATACGTCCTTGTTGCATCTTGAAGACTCAATCTCCTTCACATTGAAAGCACTTGGTCTGCAAGCATATTTGTCTCGGCCAAGTTTAATTGAACAAACCCTTTCAATTGAGCCAGTGTGGTAGACGGAATGCTTGGCTAGCATGCAGGTAGTTTGGGTGTTGCTTCATCCATGCTAGTCATGATTGCAACTCATCCCTCAAGAAAAACAAAACGATGAATGAGGAGAAGGGGGGAAACAAGGAAGAAGGGAAGAACAACAACAACAAAAAAAAGGCAACCGTGCCAGAACGCGCCTCACCTCTCCCCACCCCCGCAAAAGAAGAAAAGAAACAGACAACGAGGAGGCGAGCGCGACAGACCAACGAGCGCCTCAAAGGCGAACGTGCCCAAAAAAATGTCTGCCTCTGGCGCGATAGGCCAGGAGCACGTGTGGCCAAGTCATGCGACGGCACCCCTAAGCCTGCCGGAAATAAGAAATCAAAAAAACAGGCCAGCAGAAAACCAGTAGCGATGCACACAAGCAGCGCTGCGCAGAAGTTGCAAATCATCAGCAAAGAAGCGTTGGGTGGGAGGCGCATGTTGACGTAGAGCGCCGGGGAGCCAGCGCCGACAACCTCACCCACCTTTACTATATCCAAGGGACTTGCCTCCAACGACAAGGTACAAGCCCGGTTTTTGCATAGCCTGACCAGGCTGGGTTTTGCGAGAAGGTCACCAATTCTCACACTACGAGGCGCCTTTCCGTTCAAACAAGACAAGCTTTCTTTGAACGCAAGAAAGAAGTCAGGCCTCCAGGGCTGTGATGAAGCTTTCGTCCAGCGATGTCGCACTTACACTTCCTGCATGCGCTTTGAGATGTCGAGGGTGCTGTGAAAGCCAAAGACCAAAAGCAAAGGCAAAGTGACAGCAAGGCGCCCGCAACGAGCTGAAGCGCTTCGTTTGCCCATGCTGGGCAATTGTAGATTTCTTATGGTGCATATCAAAACCCGAGGTGTGGATGGCTGATGCTTCGGAACTTCTTTAACATTTGATGGCTCTGAATTGTTTTGTTCTCCAACAGAATGCTGATCACTCCTCCTTATGTTTAACCGGCGTTCTGCTTCCCAGACCCCAGGACCAAGCCGAAATCCATGGCCAGAAACTCGAAAAAAGGACCCAGTCCCCACACAAGGCAAATTCCCCGCAGAAATGCTGCCAGTCTTTGGATGCGTTGTTGCCCGTTGCGGGGGAGCCGCGTTGATTTAAAAAAGAATGAGCAACAAAACAGTGGACGCACTGAGGATCGCCTCATTTCATATTGCGGGTGTTCCTCACCCACCTTGGGCCCAATCCGCATTGCAACATTTCCAAGCAAGGACGGAAAGGATGAAGCAAGGAGTTCGAGCAGACCGTCCAAAAACGTAAAACATCGAAAATCACAAGCATGCCCGCGTGAGAAAAAACCGCTCGTCCTGTGAACGAAAAGCAAAGGCCTTTGGGCCTGCTCTTGAAACTGGACTTCGGGGCTGGGGCCCCGCAAGAAAGCGGAATTTGACAACTGGCGCTGTTGCTGGTCCCGTGCCCATTGCTCTGTGTCTGCGTCTGTATCTGTATCTCTGTCTGTGTCTGCGTCTCTGTCGAGTCTATGTCTGTGTCTGTGTCTGAGCTGAAGAAAAGCTGGCAATTCGTGACCATGGCAGTTTTGGCCTTGCATCGACAGGATGCAAGGTATAGAAAACGGAAGGGACACGGGTGGCCGTCCTGCCACGCGAGCAACTCAGCAGTGTTGGTGGCAGTCCAACGGGCATCTCGTCCAATGATGATTCTAACAGCTGAATCATTCTGGATGCGGCTAAGCTGCCGAACTCGCGGCAGACAGTAGTATGTAAGAGGGTCCTATAGGGACCAATGTTTTTTTTCGGGTTTGGGGGCGTTTTGCGGCACTTTTTGGGGCAGTTGCGCGAGAGGCCGCGAGAGCGTGTTTTAGAGCGTGTCCGCACTGAACCTGTCCAGCTTTCCCAAGCCTTGCCAGCAGTGTTGAACGAGTTGACAAAATCAGTGACTTTTTGAAGATTACCAAGCATGCCGGTCACGCTATAGTATGCAGCTTGGACTGCTGGTTCTCGCAGAAAATCTCCTGCTGCTGCCACAACGTCGGAAAAACTGGCACGTGCTGAAGACACAGGTGCCTTTGGAGCCCTCGGCGCGCTGAAACTTGCAGGATGCTTGCACACTTGCCACGCAATCAGGAGCACCATTGCCCCCCTTCCGCATGCTTCCCATGTCTGAACGGAGTTTGTTTGGCGAGCCCCCCAATGCGTGGCCCGAAACTCGTGCAAAACAGGGTGCAAAGGTGGGCGTGAGATTTGGGATTCCTGGGTCAAAAACCTTGATGTTTTGGAGCAAAACGTGAGCAAAAACAACAAAACTCCGACCAAAGGAATTCGTGACAAACATGTGTCCCTGAAAGCACAGCCTCCAAATAGGGTGTGATAAGGAGCAAAAATCAATTGTCCATATGTGCCTGACCATTTGATGCTGGTTATTGGCGGCGAATGCAATCCATGCATCTTCAAATAGACCGAACACAGAAAATCAAATGTGACCAGACTGCAAGACACACGGCGTACATTTCACTTGGGTACCTCACCTGGCAACAGCCAGGGTACATAATCTGTTTAACGTGTGGGATTCTCAGCTCCAAGCCTTTACTGAGCTTGTGTTGAACTTCAACATGCTAATATTTCCAAGTTGGACACAAAGGGACATATGTTCCACCATGTTTTCAGTTTGTCCATCGATGTTCCACAGAGTTTCCTCTTCTCATCTAACACTGTCGAGTTGCACAACGAAAAGGGCGATTTGCGTTGGACCATAAACAGAACACTGCACACTTCAAGAATGACTTTTTCCCACTCAAGATTCCTGTGCTTGTTGCGTGGAATGAAACTTTTGAATAGCTCTGTGGCTTTTGTATCAACTGCTCATCTTTTGCGATGCAAAACACAGAAAGGTCAACAAGAGCCTCACAGAGTAAACTTGTTTCGAGAAACGCCACTGTGAGGAAACGCCAAAGAAAAGCAACGCCCGCCTTGAGGAATACAGTAGCCTGCCGTAGTCCGACCAGGGCAAAGTGATTTGCGAATTTGCGCGGCAGCTTCAGAATCTTGTCACGTTCGTACTTGGATTGGGTGGGGGACTTAGAAACACGTTTCACTGAAGCCTCTTTGTCCTCTTCCACTCACCGGGCAAGAATTTTGAGGTCTTCACTAAACAAGGCTTCAACGTCAAAACAGCTGGAGCCGTCCTGCTGGCTATATCAATTTCATCGGCATCGCACTTGACTTTGTTCGCTCCATCTTGATCGCCTCACCAAAAACTGCGATATCACAAATGGACACGCTTTCAACAAAGCCTGGTCCGTTTCCCAGGCCTGCTTAATTACTTGGTTTATCTTCACTCAATCGTTTGTTTCTCAAAGAAACGCGATGGACATGAACACGTACTATGAAAGCACAGGACACATTGCAGACATGAGGGGTCTGCTCAATCCTTGACACTCCCTTTACAAAACAGCATGCAGAACTAACAGTATACAATTTGGCTGGAGGTCAGCACCTTCTTCACATCATCTACGTCGGCTCCAATGATTTTGCAGGCATTGCCAGCGAACTCGAAGCCGTCAGTGGCTGAAACATTCAAGCTCAACTCCTTCCAAGCACACGCAAGAGAAGCCTCTTCTTACCAAACATTACGGCAAAGGGCCAACGGCATGGGGGGAAAAAAAGCAAGTATTTAGCCTCAAAACACCTCTATCAAATTGAGGAATGTTGCTGGAAGATGTCATTCAACAAATGAAGCAGATGAAGCACAGGTCAGAAGCTACCTCGAGCAGGAAGAGAAACCATGGCTTTCTGTGGGCATGTCTCTTTGTGGTTTATCACTCAAAGGAGAGGGAAACACAGTTTTGTCAACAACGGGGGAACCCGGGACCTTAAAAGGAACGAACCCCTCCGTGACTGCGACCTCTCCCTTAACCTTGGGGTTAGCGCGGTGCAACGCGCTGTTTTCAGCACTTGAGCCAAAGCAGTGATTGGATCATGCTCTGGCAATGACTTGAATGTACAACATGCAACTGACTACATGAGAACCTACCTCATGTACCTCTGGGCCATAAATGTCATCGTGATAATTGACTCCCCCCTCATTGACGGCACTGAGGGAGTGTCTTGGGCGCATTACCACGCCAACTTGAAGTCAAGTTTACATCACAACGACTGACACAAGTTATTCAAGCATCACCCAGGCACTTTGCACACTTTTGGAAATTTTGCGGACATGCTGCAGCGCACTAGGCAGCTGCTTTAGCGGCTCTACTTTCACGAACGTCTTCAAGCTTCTCTGGAAGGTCAACACGAATGCCGAGCAACCGGATGGCATGGTCCCACTTGTTGGGTGGAAGTGCTTTCGTGAAGATGTCCGCTGACTGCATGTCGGTTTGGACGTATTCTATCGAGATGTGTTCGCTTTCAAGCTGCTCTGCGATGCACGCGAGATTCACCTTGTGCGTTCGCTGGACACAGCGTAGCTTGGATGAGAAACCTTTTCTCGCTACGAGGATAGTCGCCTGATTGTCCTCGTGGATCTTGAGATGGAATGGTCGGTCCAAGATCAGCTCCCACAAGCTAAGCGCGGGGAGCGCCTCCTGATAAAGGGAGTATGCGAGAGATACAATCTCCGCCTCGGTTGTTGATCGGGAGACCGATGTCTGCCTTTTGGACACCCACGCAAGTGGAAAATGCGTGTGCGGACCACTCAAAATCAAGAATCCTCCGGACGTGGATTTTGCGTCTCGTTCTCCAGCGAAATCGGCGTCCACATAGAGAGACAGATGCAAATCCTCAGTCGAATCTTGAACTGTGCCTACTAGCGTGCTGTTGACC